ATATGGTACTCAAAAGTGGTCGGATCAGGCAATATATGAATACTGGTCAAACAGCTCCAAAAATTATTTTCTAATGTTCGAAATTTTGAGTTAAAAGTGGAATTTTGAAGCCAAAAAGAAGTTCTATTTGGTATTATTTTGTTGATATCAACGACTACTACATTAAAGAGTCACCTAAAATTATTACACTTCCGCTTCCGCAGAAATTTACCATTTACTTCTGTTTCCGCTATGACACTTCCGTTGCGTCAGTAATACGTAACACGTTTTTCTATGAGTCATGCTTTAAAATCCTGCACAGTCCAATGGAATAGCTGTTATTTTTTATTGTGAGAAAGATTACCTGCTTGCGAGCACTATTCGCTGATCTACAAGTTCATTACTGTATCTTGAAATATGCATTTACCGTTACTTGCGTGTCGGTAAAAACGAAAATTAAGTAGAACGCGTTTTAATGCCTTCCATTGTACAGCAGAAGAAGAAGAAAAAGAAGAAGTTGGTATAGTACACGTGGGTAACTCACTGATAAACATCTCGCACAAAGAAGGTGCGACCCAAAAAGCAAATTTTTACTGGGTAATAGCAAGAGGAATATTTTCAGTAGGTCATCAGGACCTCTTCCCATACACGAAAACCTCATTAATTATAAAAATATTGACCAACTCGTGTTTCTTAATATTTGAACGTCAATCCACGTCAGGTATTGCTTTTGTTATTAAAACATGCATTATTTCTCAAGCAGTGGTAAGCAACTGAATAATGGTGTGGAAAAATAACATTAAGTATAAATCGCGGACAATAGGCTTATTAATCAATCAAAAATTTTGAAAATCAGTTATTACACTTTTCAATTTTTTCTGTACATTTTGAAAAAGCTCTTGGCAATGTTAAATGGGACAAGATGTTAAATATACTTTAAAATATAGGGATGAGTTATAGAGATTGAAGAGTGATATTTAGTTTGTATAAACAGCAACAGGCAGTTATAGAGCTGGAGATGCAACGTAGGGAAGTAAATATTAAAAAGGGAGTCAGCCAGGGATGCACACTGTCACCGCTACTTTTTAATCTATACATCGAAGACGCCATCAACATCATTAAAGACAGTACAACTGTAGGGATAGATGTGCAAGGGCAAAAGATTAGTATGCTTAGATTTGCAAATGATATATCAGTATTAGTATCTAACAAGGAGTTAACTTTAAATAAAATGGAAGCGTAAAGTAAAACAAAAATACTGATATGCAAGGGAAGAAAAGGTAGAGAAAGAGCGAATATAAAGATATGAGACGAAAAATTAGAAGAAGTAGCCGATTTTAGGTATATAGGAAGTCAGATAAGTCAGAACGGAAGAAGAAGAAGATCGAGTCGTCTTCAATAAAAAGAAGTCAATACTACGCTCGCGAACGATTAATTTAGAATTTCGAAAAAGATTGTTAAAAGTGTATGTTTGAATCACGGCGTTATACAGGTGCGAAACATGGACAGTGGGCGCGGCGGAAAAGAAAACGTAAGCACCGTTCGAAATGTGGTGTTACCGGTGAATGATGAGGATACCGTGGATAGAGATGGATGAAAAAAAGAGGTATTAGAAAGAATAGGAGAACAGAGAACTCTACGGAAGTCAATACAAAGTAGGCGAGATAGGTTGGTAGGACTCCTTCTCAGGCATGAAGGTCTAGTCAGAGACATATTGGAGGCAAAAACAGGAGTTAAGAGGAGTAGAAGTAGACCCAGGTTAGATAACTGTTCGAAAATAGTTAAGGATGTGGGTTGTTCTTGTTTTGGGGAAATGCGAAGATTAGCTCAAGTAGAAATAAGTGGAGGTGCGTGTCCAAGCAGTCTTAAGACTGACGACCTTAGAATGATGATGATGGTGATGACGACTTCCATTATATTTCCAGTTGCTTTGAATACTGTAATACATATTTGTCTAAGTGCTGCCCAAAAGCCTTTAAAAAGCAGTCCAAACGCAAATTATAAAAATATTTAAATTTACATATATTTAATGAACATTTAAAATTAGTTTTGTAATAACCATTAGGTCAGTAACGTAGACTTACAACGTCTTTCCAGTCAATACGACAGGGGAAGTACCGCATAAATGTAACGTGGAATTAGAGCAATAGCACAATGGGCATTTCTTTCTATGAGCGAAAAAAAAATTTGTTCACAGTATACGATGGTCAAGCACAATATATCAATAGATATGCTTATTTAGAAGCTCAAATCCCATCACCAAAACACGATACTAAACGTTCGAAGTACTTTTGGATTACGAGTGGAACTACTTCAGGAACTGAAGTTCAAGGCAATTAAGGGTTGGAAAGTTTTTATTTTTAAAGAACCACCACCAATTTTGCCCATTTAATTTTCTACATTTATTTAAATAAAACATATTTTTTTAGAAAACCTTGCAGGCTTTTGCTCATTTTCTAAATATTGGAGTTTTTCTAGACTAATAGTGGTGTTTGCACTATATCACCCGCTGCGAAGATTGAGTATATTTTTCTATTTGAACTGATTGAGTTATAGTTTTTCTATCTTTATGTTATAGATTCTTCAGTTCAGCAACAAATAATACTTCCTTGTGCTTCCTTATTTGCCTTAGTCACCCGTTTTAATTGGAAAAAAGACATTGATGCCAAAATAGTTTGTTTAGCGTGAAAGATCAGAGCCTAAATAGTGTTGAAAATAATTTAATTGATGTAAAATCAACATCAATCATTTTATATCAAAATACTTACAATCCCATTTTGTTTCTGATTTTTTACATATTGTAATAAGAGAAAGAAATGGAATTCATTTTTTCTTTAGTTTTGGGTTCATCTAATAAGTAAAATTTTTCGAATCGTTTTCTGAGAATTTTAGATTATAGGCATTTATTAGCACACCACAATATCTTCTAATTTTTAGTTTTACACAGCTGGCGGATATCAATTCGATATTGTTTTGCGGGCTGTTTTGTCGTAATTCATAGAATTTCGTAGTACCTTGTTGAAAGTACGATAAGTGGTGATTTGGCAGTTTTGAACTTCCAAACTAAATTCCATGGACCAAGACATTGAACTCGGAAAACAATATTTTAGATTATCCATTTCCAAGGAGTTTACACTTTTTTGGCTCTCTTCAATTAAAGAATTAGAAGACATTCACGGAATGTTTCTTTGTCTCCTATTTCAGCTTCTAATACCTTCATTTGCCAATGTGAGCAACATTCATGTTATTTAATATTTGTTCGGTGATACTAGTAAAACTTTTAACGACAACAATGTATTTTGAATTTTATAAATAGAAAATACGTTTGGAAAAGTATTTTAAATAAAATACAAAACGCTTTTCTCAAAAAAAGTATTTAAATGCAAGATAAAAATAGGTATTTTTTATTTTGTATTTGCACTTGAAATACAAATGTTTCAAATAAATCACATCTCTATTAACTAATCTGTTAAAAGTCTCCTATGCCGAGCGCAACCACCAATATTACAAGTAATAGTTTACGATTAGAAGCAGAATGTTGATCGATTAATAGATAAATAAAGACAATAAAAATAGATCATTCCGATGAAATGTGTACAGATAAAAAATTAACAAAATCCTACCTTTCTACAGACGAGAATCCATTTTCCTGTTCAGCACATCACATACGAATCACAACACTCCTGCAATGCAAAGATAATATTAATCTTAATGCACATACCACATGCAATTTCAAAACTATTTCAGAATCTTAGATCCGATTATTATTTGTAGAAATATGTTTATTAATTTTGTTTGACATACTAGGACAAAAACACTATTTTAATCATGAGAAGTTGTCTTTTAGTAGAGACAAGTGATATAAGACAGTAATTAACGATTAAATGTCCTATTCAGACAACATAACAAGAATAATCGATTATTAAATTTAGTAATCGCTCAGCTCTACTATTATCGTCACTTACAATTAGATTTAACTGGTCAATCATAATTTATACAGGGTGATGGATTACAAATAAATGGGCCTAATGTTTTCACGTTAAAAACGCCCAAGCCATAACTCCTTTATTTCGAAAGATATGACTATACTTCTTGGATCAAAGTTGCATAGTTGATTGTCATCTATGTTTTGGGATTGATGCTCAATCAATGCGTCTTCCTGTTTCACCGGAAGTGACAGCAACTTCAGTTTCTTATGTAGAATACCCTGTACATTTTATTATTTTTGACTACCTCGTTAAATTGTCTTTCAAAAAGCTCAACAGTATCATATGCCTAAAACCAATGGTTAGTAAGATATTTGTCAATTAATGTAAAATAGGCACTATACGTTTGCCTAATAGAAACAGTCAGTGTTACATTAATCAAAGTAAGTAGTGGAAAACAATGTTAACAAATGGCGCGGTAAACGCCATCTGTAGTACGGTGTTACATTTTAGGATTACGTATACTCCAACAAGGTCCACTTGTGTGGATATCTACTTGCTGAAACGAATCCCGGCGTTGCTAACCTCAACGTGATAGGCACGTTACCATAATCGAATAAAATAATTCGAAGTGGTCTGCAGGTAAAAGTTGGTCTGTTTGTCGGAGCTGTCTGCGACGCGCTGATGAGATCCAAAAAGATCGAAATCGCGATCCGCGTCTGACAGTTTCAGAATACAAACCACTTCGAATTAATTTAATGTTAACAAATTTCAATAGTTCGCATTTTCTTCTACTGTTTCTATACTGTCTGGTATTAATAATGGATAAGAGTGTGTTAATAGACATAATTTGGAATTTCTCTAGTTGGAAACCACTCAATTTAAAAACGTATTACTCTCCCACTATTTTTATTCGATTCAAAATGTCAACTATTGGCATTTATTAAAATTGTTTGAATTATTGTTTATTAGACATGTGCCTAGTGCCTACATTACATTAATTGACGAATATTTCACTAACCATTGGTTTTAGGTTTAAGATACTATTGAGCTTTTTGAACGATAATTTAATGAGATATTCTATTTCCATTATAGGTGTTGAAGATTCCGCAAAGGAGGGAATTGAAACGGTAAAGGACAAAATAGGATCGGTGGTTGACAGCGCCGAAGACTCCGTCCATTATGCCGTTAACAAAATAAGTGAAACATTGCACAACAAAAAGTCCGATGCGTCAGATGCCATGGATAATTTAGAAAAAGACGTCAAAGAGACGTCTGACAAACTACACGAAAAAGCTAACGAAATACAACACGACGCTGAAGATACGGCTTTAAGCGTTGAAGAAGCTTTTACGTCCGAAGCCGAAAAGCTCAGCGATAAAGCTTATGAAATATCTAACAACGTCGACTCATCGCTATCATCAGCAATTAACGAAACAAAAGAAGAGCTCAAAAACACAGAAAATGACGTTCTAAACAGCATGGAATCGATAGAAGATCAAGTGTCGTCTTCAATAACATCTGCAACGGACAACATAAACAAAACAAAAGACAATGTTATGGACGAAAGCGAAAAGTTAGCATCGGAATTCACGTCAATGAAGGAAATGGCGTTCGATAAGATCGATTCGACTAATGAATCGACGTTTGGAAAAATCGAAACGGCGAAACAAAATCTATCGCACGAACTAAACGAAATCGATAACACATTAAAGAACGCATTGAAACTGGAAGATGTAGACGACAGTTTCGACACGATCAACAGTGATGTCGAACACGAGAGTGTTAGAAAAGTGTTAGCAAGACTTCCAACGCCAGTTCCGTCCGGATCTATCGAAATCATACCGAAGAAGGAGTAAGTTTCGATGTGAGTGAAAAGTATATTGACCATATTTGACGTAGTAAATAAGTTAGTTTGTGTTAAAAAAAACAACAATCAAGTGGCCTAATGAACAGAACCTTACCTAACCCTTTCACATTTACAAAAAGTTTCATATAATTTTAAAACTTCTTTACATCTTCCTGCAGATAACTACAAGGTGGCCCAAAAAGTACGCAATAGGCTCATCACGGCTAAACTGTAAGTTCAACCTAAAAACAAAACTTGTTCCCTATTTTAATACAAGATCGTCAGTGTTATCCAAATTTAACTTTGTATACACAGCGTTCAAAAATAGAAAACATAAAGTTTCGTTTTAATGTCAGCCATGTGAAATATTGGTCCAATCGAAAAAGTTAAAGCAAAAGGTTATTCGGAATGCCAAAATAAGGGACTATGCGAAAAATCGCGCCGACATTCAAATGTTTTTTGATTCTGTTCAAGTGATTTGACTTGAAAAGAAATATTTGAGTCTCACTGCGATTTTTTGTATAGCTCCATATTTTGGCATTTTCGACAACTTTTTCCAATAATTTTTTTCGATTGGAGCCAAATTTCGCATAGCTACCAATTAAGCGAGACTTTTTTTTCCTACTTTTGAACGCTCTGTACAGTAAATCAAATTTAGTTAACATAGACCACCTCGCATTAAAATAGGGAGCAAGTTTTTTTGGAAAGTTTTCGATTAAACTTACAATTGCGTACCTTTTCGGCCACCCTGTATGCATATGGGACAAATAGTTTCCAAAAATTGGCACACGCTTTTAATCATTAATTATTATAGGTATAGTGAGGATGCGTGGGTTGGAACAAATTCATTCAAAACTCAGGGGTTTGTTTTTGGGAGAAACGCCCGGACGCGTCGATTTTTATTTTTGGCTGCGGGTTTTTTCATGATAAATTTATGTACAGGGTAACCCAAAAATAAGTGACTACCACCGACTTTGGTTTTTCAAATGGACGCACCTATTTTTTTGAATTCTGCATCGAATTTTGACTGTTTCATGTACCATGTTCTATACTTAGTATCAGCAGTTATAGAAACATTTCTTTCAAATTTGGGAAAATGCGTGGGTTCGAACAAACACATCTTAAATTGAGGGGTTTGTTTTCTGGAAATTTATTAAACAATAGAACAACAAATTATTTAATTAAATGTTCAAATTGCTGATCATTAACTTCCTGAACTTGTATATATTGCACATATTAATTTGCGTATTTAAGCTATAAATTATTAAAAAAATTTCTAAAATTCTAATACTTCCTACTCCTTGGAATTTCTTTCTAATAACGAAAAAAATTTTAAAATTGTCGTTCTCGTATTTTTTCTTAAATAATTCAAAATTTAGCACACCTATTAGCTTCATAAATAACTTGTTAGAGATTTTACTGTCAATTTTTAATTTAATAACATACATTAACCATTTAAAAGTATTTGCCTTGTTAACGATAGGCCAAATAAAAAGTGAAGGTTAATAACAATTACACTTCATTACCATTGTACTTGTACATTGTAATAAAGGAAACCACAAAAGGATGTAATAGCTCAAAATCATACACCGTGAACTATATTTTATGTTTATCGATCCGCCATGAGGTCGGCTGGCATTATAGAGCAAGCAAGTAGGTTAACTTAGTAATAAAAATCAGGAATATATTATAGGTACCCTACTAACGTTAATTTATTATCAAAACGGACGAATGTTGCAACCTTTGAAAAATATGGTGCAACTTAATTTTTGAAGTGAAACTTCTTATTACGATTTTCTCTGTCACGAAAAAGCGTTACGGCCGCGTGAAGGGGGTAGACGGTATATCGCTAGGTGAGAGGCGACAGCGGTAGAGGGAAAGAAAGGCTGGCGATGACGGAGAGAGGGTAACGACTGCATTAGATGGATATAATGCGAAGCCGCGCGGAGAGCGGGGAGTCCGCTAGAGTCCCGACGGCGTGTGCTGTGCTCAGCTGTTGTTTTTTACCTCTGCTCTCCACGTGGCTGGGCGTCATTGCCTCTATTTGCGGTCTATCTCAAGACCAAATCATAATTTGCAGTAAACCTGTGAAAACGAAACGTGTGCTGGGACACATAGTAGAAGTAAAACTTTAACAGACAAGTGGAAAACGAATGGCAACGGACAAGTGGAAAAACGAATCGCAAAAAAATTTTTACTTGAAGTTTTATGGGCAGGTTTTCAAATTGGACAAGTAGGTACATTAATAATCTGCCCATAAAACTTTGTTGCGATTCGTTTTTCGACTTGTCCGTTGCCATTCCTTTTTCCACTTGTCCGTTGAAGTTTCACTTCTACTATGTGTCCCAGCACACATATTGTTTTTTTTATTATGTAAAGACTAAGATTTTTCTAGTTGATGTATCAAAAGGGTAATTAGATATTTGAGCTTGATATCCATGGTCTTGGAGTGTTTCTCCTCCTGTGATGAGAATCCAAAGATTCGCCTACAACTGTGTAGCATACTCAGGAAGCGTAGCGAGGACGTAAAATCCTTCGCTACGCTTATACTAAGACTCTCGAGAACTTGTTGTAGAAACATCGGTAGGAGAAACAGTCCTGGACCACGAGTATCAAGCCTGAATGTGCAAAATTTGAAATATAAGCCTAGCCTCAAAATCTTGATGGTTAATGACGTGTGTACAGGGGCGGCCTTTGGGGGTGGCGAACAGGGCAACCGCCCGGGGCCTCGCTCTTGCAGGGGCCTCGCACACTCGCGCAACAATCTAATTTGAAAAATATTAGGTAGTAATAGTACATACTACTAATGTTCATTTGAATTTCTTAATAGTCTTAAAAGAAGCCGCAAATTTGCTATCTTTGTCTTTATCATTTTTTTTTTAATTTTCGATAAACAATTTTAAAACTGCAAACTTATTTACGAATCGCTTTGCATCTTTAAAGTATCATCATTAAAATTAATTCCACAAAGACGAGGGCCTCGCAAAAGTTTACCCGCCCGGAACTTTCCAATGACTAAGGCCGCCCCTGCGTGTGTATCTCCCTCCTCTAACCCCTTACCCATTTACCAGGCATTTTTACTATGTAGGAAATCAAACATATACAGGGTGGCCCAAAAAGTACGTAATATACTCATTGTGTCCAAACTGTTACTTTAATCGAAATAGTTTTGAAACAAAACTTGTTCCATACTTTAATGCAAGATCGTCTGCAGCATCTAAATTTGATTTACTATACAGTGTTCAAAAATAGGACAAATTGGGATATAGAGATCAAATTCAGCTTAAAAAAAAGGTGAATTTTTCTTCAAAACGATGTTATATCACCGTACCTCCTCTAATTGCGATTGTTTTGGTCATTTAAACCAAATCAAAAAACATTTGAATGTCGTCGAGATTTTTTTCATGGCCCCACATTTTGGCATTTTGAAAACTTTTCGAATGGACTGTACTTTTTCAAAATAATTCATATTTAAATGTTATTAAAAACGGAAACAAGTTTTGTTTGAAAAATTTCCAAATTAATGCAATATAATTCATTTTTTTTTTGCGCGGGGACAAAGCCGTTAATAAAAACGTTTGAAATTGTTTTAGAACTACAACTTTTTGGGAAACGGCCGCAGACGCATACCTTCGGAAACCAAAACTGAAAGAATCGATAACCGTTGAAGTTTCCGATTCCGACTTAGAAGCAGAAATTGGATCACAACATTGCGAAAACGAATTAGATTCCGACTTAGAATTAGTTAACTTCAATCGATCTTTATCCCAAGGAAACAATGAAACAATAACAAAGAAAACGACAATAGAACACAGCCAATCTGTACTTTAATATTAACAATAACAGTGCAGCGAAAAAATTTTACCTATTTTACGAAAAAATAATTTCTATTAACAATTTCTGGAGCCTGTGATAATTTATTTATTCAATGTTAAAAAGGAAAAACGAGTAAGTTTAAGGTATAAAATTCTTCAAAGTGAACGATAATGAAAACAGTTTAATAGTTTTAAATGGTTTCTTTTTTTAATTTAAACAAAAGCATTGAAACCCCATTATACACTTTAAACATTTAAAGTTTTATAATGCTACTATTTCCATTTTGTCGCACAATGTTATTTAATTTTTTATGCTGGATGTGACAACAATTTATTACACTTCAACACTTCAAGAAATTTTAATACAAACTATCCAAAGAAATGCATAACTTTAGCCGCATTAAAGACGCATGCCGCATGCCGTTTCATAAAGAGAAACGAAATATCGTGTTGCAGAATAAAAATATTCCAACCAGATACTGGAATTTTAACAAAACCATTTGTTTTAGTTTGTTCTATTCATTAAGCGTCTGCGATGACAAAGAAAATTTTGTTTGTAGAAAAATAACCAAACATTTTCATGTGTATGTTTCTGTATCATATTCCGTTATCATTATATTATAACAAAATATAATACCAAAGAGCGAGCTGCGTTTCAACATTTGTATTACTTACATTTACATAATAAATTTACAGTTCAGAACAAAGTTCTAAACACTAAAACACATTGCACTTTAACCTTTAACGTTCCAAACACTCTACTAATATGCAACACCAGTTAATTTCAAACCATAGTTTCAAACATAATAAACGTGATAAAAATAGAATCGCCAAAAATGGTCGCCATCTAGCGAAAATACATATTATCAATTAAGTCAACGGCGGCATTTTGAAAATACATAAATTTATACATTGATAAAATTATTACAACTATAATTATGCTTTCTCTTTTGCTGCACTGTTATTAAATATTACCATGCCTTATTCTAATGCAGCCATACCACTAAATTAATTAAACAGTAGGTACGTCTACTCAAACAAATTTACCAAAAATTATCTTTCTTTCGATTTTATTTCTTTTGCATATAAGTACTTTATAAATCGTTATACGGAAAAGCTTTGAAGTATTGTTTTAAAAAAATGAAGTTTTTTTAATGAAAGACAATAGTTAATAAGATGCACAAAAATATTTTAATAATGTATAAAAACTTTGTAAACTAGAAGTAACATCAGTTGCACAAATAAATCTTTAAATTTTTTAAAATATCTTTATAGTCAGTAAAAAGGAATTTTCTCTTTTCGAACTTAAAATCATACCATAAATATTTATATATGTGATTAGTTTCTTTATATACAACAAATTAGGATCATAAAAATAAATTATAATATAATATTGTACTTGTACTTACTGTTAAGACTTTTAGAGTATTTTTTGCATTAAATATTATTCATACGTTACTATAATTGTTTTTATATTTTACTGCCAATATAGGTTTAAGTAGGTATCAACTAC